ATAAGAGCCAGTACCTTCTATGTAGAGACCAAATTATTGTAAAATGTCTGGTTGAAACTCTTAGTCAGTATTAGCATAAAGCATACATTAATCTTTGAAAAATAATCCATCCATCCACGCTTTCTGTGTTTGCAATTTACATGAATAACTGTCCTGTCATGACATAAATAACCTTATTTTGTCTGTAATTGAAAGTTTTATTTATTTAAATGTTTACTGCTTGTATATTGTGTTTCCCCAATCCATTATTATTCAATTTGTATATTATTATTATTATTATTATTATTATTATTATTATTATTAATATTAATATTATTATTATTACTACTACTACTACTACTACTACTACTACTGCTGCTGCTACTGCTACTGCTACTGCTGCTGCTGCTGCTGCTGCTGCTGCTGCTGCTGCTACTACTACTACTACTACTATTTAATTATTATTAATATTATTATTACTATTATTTAATTTTTTTGCGTTTTTTACTTCTATGACAATTAGCCTCATTTTTTACCGTAATTTAATCGTTGTACACTTTCATGTTTATAATTGGTTTATTATTTTGCGTTTTTTACTTTAATGACGTAGGACTAAATGGTTTAGCCTAATTTTGTCTGTATTTTAAAATTTTATTTCTATGAAAATTTAGCCTCATTTTTACCGTATTAATCGTACACTTGGTTTATAATTAGTTTTGGGGCGCATTGAAAGTATGTTTAAATTCTTAAAGAAAACCTTCATAGACCATTTTGGTTTATTGCCGTTTTGACATAGGCCTATTGTCGTTTTGGTCTTGCCGTTTTGAGTTATAAAGTTTTGGTCCATTGCCGTTCTGGTCAAAAAGTGTTGCCGTTTTGTTTTTGTTTTGTTTGTTTGTTTTTTTCTCTTTTTTTGCCGTTTTGGTCATTGCCGTTTTGACTTATTGCTGTTTTGACCAGAAAGCATAATTCGTCGAAAGTTAATATTTGCATACATTGGAGGCCTATTTGTCATGTATTATTGCTTGAATAAATTATTGGATAAATATTAATTAAAGCAAAACTTTATTAACTCTCCCCCACCCCTCCCCCACCCATCCAAGGCTCGGAATGAATCGAGCGCCCTGGTAATCTTTTAAGCTGGTACCGGTAGCCAGTTGTTTCAATCACTATAGAGACCACCAGCGGCGGGGCCGACATAAGGCCTAATTGTGTACTTCTAAAATTGACAACCCTACCATTCCCTTTTATAGGCCTACAAATCTTCCTAATATATTCCTATTATAATGTAGCCGTTGTTATTCGACATAGCGGAAGAGGGTTGGTTCGCTTCTTCCTCGAGCTGTGATTGTTAGCGCATTATTATGCCTCGCAAAAAGTAGAAACAGTTCGAACTGAAAAACTCGGATGTGAATGTGCATGCCCAACTGATGCTTTCGGTTCGAGCGATCGAATGCATTCGCGTGTAAAACCGGCTTTAGCTTAAATAGTGGACCGGATTTATAGACTTATACCGGTACTTTATACCGGTGATGGTGGTGCCAGCGGTACTAAGGTAAACATTTTTTTTTCACACAGCCGGCCTCAACCAAAGTGGATATTAATTCGTACATTAACCTCTAATACATTGAAATCAATCGAAACGTATCCAACCTTAACTGCAATTATTCGGGACCTAAGTTAGGCCTATTCGAATTTACTCAGAAACTGCTGACCCCATGCCTTCTTAATGCTATCTTCCCAGATATTCGTTCATCATTATTGTCAACTTATCTCCCGGGTACCATGAGTCTATGCGGGACAACCCTCCAGTATGTCTATTCATGACTATCAACATGCATTCTTTTAGAGTATTTTAGAAACAGTTTTAAATTTGAAGGGGTATAGCACAAAGAGTTGGGGCATCCCGGCAGGTGAGGATGAAGTATTGAGATATAGGCTTGGATTAACCAAACTATATTTTCTCTTCAAAGAGAGAAAGTGAACGAAATAATCAGTAGGCCTAATGATTTTCCCCTATAGCACATCATTGCACATCATTAAAAAACAATAGCGAGATATAATAGAAGTTTGTAGGTCTACTGCGTTTAGCATTTGTGACGTCACTGTTTACCGCCAAGTCATTTCAGTATATCAGTCAGATAACTCATACTTGTTAGAATAATGTACCTTGGTTGAGAATGTGTGAAGAACGTTTTTATTGAAATACGTATTCCTCCCCAGACTGAAAGTTTGTGTTGCTGTCACTAAGTATACTTAATGAATTAAACATTAAATAAATAAATTAAAGAATGTCAAACATGGCAAATGCATTGTACAGATTTTTATTTTCGAGACTGCAGCAGACGAATAATGTATAATTCTTCCGCCAATGTTTCTGTGAGATCACATCTCTCCCTAATATAAGTAATGAATGATTTACTTAGATTTGACGGTTTGATAGATAAGATATAATGGGTATATTATATCGTGCGATTTTTTTTCCATCCGGAACCAAGAAACGAACTAAACGTATACACTACGTGAAACAGGAAACAAGAAAGCTATCGGAAAGCAGACGGTTGTAGTGGTATATGCATTGTTATTATCCAATGCCGATGAACAAGCAGTGCTAAGTCAATCAATTGTCTTCCACCAAATGCTAACATGTTTTGGAACAGTTTTCTACTACGGATACTAGCCTACCTCTATCTAACATGTACAGGTAAGCCTTAAGTTTATGTCAACATGTTTAATTTTCTTTGCTTGTCATTGTTTTTCCATATGGAAATTCCAAATGGCTGTAGACCAACGTAGTTGGTTGATAATTGACATGTCCCGCAAAATTCGGCACAGTGAGTTATAAAACCTGAAAAATAGGTCGGTTCATAATATCTATCTTTTCAAGAGGGCTGGGAGAGGGGAGGGGCTAACAATTGTACTAAATGAATTGTGACGATGAATATTGGACCTTAATTATGTTACCGAAGCTACTTATACAATTTGTTAATTATCGATTTCTTAAGTGATATAGACCATGAGAACATAGGCCCTACTACAGTAATTGCTAATACTGACATTCGTCATTGCGTGTGCGAAGTATGGTCAAGTATGTGGTTAGGTACACACGTACGACGCACGATACAAGTGGGACATAACACCAAAAATATTAGGACCTACGGTACCGGTACATTTTCCTCTGCTCTTCTGCCTCTACTTCTAATCAATGTTAATTATCTTAGTGTAGCCTGAATTTCCTTATTTCTCAGTTACACATTAAGTATTTAGGGTGAGAATATTCCTCTTATTTGTATTTGCCTATATAACCAGTGCCGTAAATGCTTCTATAACATTTTTGGAGGCTTTAGTGCTGCGGTTATTCGAGAGCGGCGCTTATAAAATAATAATGGCGTGGCGCTTTCTATCCGTTCCCATGTCACCTATTCAGGTATTCCCGTCGTTTTTAGGCCTATCATAGGCCCTATCATCTTAAACGAACGTTTATAAAGAAATGATTGTGTCTTCATTGCGTTACTGATGTAACACTGTATACATTGTATTTAAAGCCCTGTTTCATTACACACAGTAATATTATAATATATTCTCGATTAAGCGCCGCAGCGCTTATTCGAGAGCGGCGCTTAACGAAAAAAAGCACGTTTGGTGCGGCGTTTATTCGAGAGCGGCGCTTATTCAAGCATTTACGGTAATGTATGCAAGAAAAATATTCATGCAAAAACAGAAGATATGCAAAAAGACCGTCAGACAAAAATAATACAATTTTGGAATCCTTTGCTTTACACACCATAATTAGTAGGCCTATTGTGTTTATAATCGAAGACCAACAATACAAGGTATATCCTGCTTACATAATAACTAAAGAAAAATTTAGTTATTGTAGGACCATATGCCTATTACGGATGGGACAACTCCTACTGTGCACTCTTGTATCACGGAGGAATTAGTTTCCCCATGCTTGTATTAAGATCAGCTGCAGTACCGGTAGGCCGGGCCTCTGCTACAATGAACAGTAAGTGTACAAATGTCGTACAGTGCTCTTACATGAAGAACTTTGCTATTAGTAAACCGTGCATTCATGCCACAGCAATCAACACGATTGAACGAACACATTTAAGGAAATGCGTACTTATGGCTACTTAACGACAGGATGTTGCGACCCTAGTAGGCAGCCCAATTTCGGTAACTTTCTTTTGCTATCTTTAAAACTATAGTGCATTCGAGCTTTAAAAGAAACTTGGTTGTTATTTATCAGAAATATGTACAGTTGTTAAATATATATATATATATAATATATGTATATATATATATATATATATATATAATTAAATTATATTCATTAAGACATAGAAACAGTGCTCAATCCCACTGAAAAATCTATCTCTTATACACATCTAGATGTGTATAAGAGACAGATTATGCACTTGTCAATTGTAGTCCAAACTTCCATGGAAACTGCTAAGTGATACGCACGCGTAGTGCTTCCATCAAGGAACCTCATCTCCTTGGCCTAGCTCTCACGTTGCTTCTCCGATTCAGACCTACTGTAGGCTAAACCTTCAAGTAGGTTTTATCCTCCAATCATTTATTAGCGAGGCATTTTCCCAGGACTACGGCGGTGTGGCGGGGACTTAGCCGGGGATGTACATTAAAACGATGCTCCGCATTGCTAGGAGGTGGCCGGGACTCTCACATGCATGTAACCATTTTGGAAATTACATCCCCTGCTAAGTCCCCGCAAGGCCCAAAATGAGGATAATATACAAATCAGACAAAATACTAAAGCACAACGATGCGTATTTTATTTGTAACATATACCGGAATCATCTCATGGTAAAAACAATGTCATTTCCGTTCCGAAAAATAATGATAAAATGTGTGTTCGGGTAGAATGAATATGGAAATGATGAAAAAAGATATTCTGATTGTTTGTAATAATATGTGACAACGTTTAAAAAAATATCTGAACATCTACATCTTGAACTCAAATTTGTCGAATAAAAAAATATTCTCACCTTGGATAATATCGAATTTCATTTATGTTAAGCTAAAATAAAAATAAGGTTTCCCACCAGTAGCTGTTAACCCTTATTTTTTGGCTTAACGTAAATGAAATTCAATACCATACGCCTATTACTCTTAAAGGTAGTTGAAGTTATTTGATCAACTTCCATATTGTTGCGATATTTAATGAGCTCTCAAGAAAAGAACTTGTCATAATCTGTTCTTTACGGCTAACGGGATTATTAGTATTTTCCCCAGACTCACTTATGAATAAGCATTGCAATTTGTTATAATTTCCCACTAAAATTGATATACGAAAGCTGGCAGTCTATTCAGCATACACACATCTGTATTATACAGCCTTTTCATATTATATCACATAATCATACTTCGATACAGCAACACGTAAATGTAACCTCTCAAACCGATTAATTGCATTACTGACAATCAATAATTATAGAATATTGATATACAAAATTTTATTAAAAACACATGCAATAGTCGCACGTTACCACGTTACTTATGTGGATACGTAGATTGAAATAGTCAATGTATCACCAGGGAACAGGGAAACTCATTGTTCCCTGGTATCATAACAGATCGCCTAACCAAAGTTCAGGTTGTTCGCTAAGGATATTGAAAAAAAATTGCATGTATGGCTAATCATATTTATTTAACCCGTGAATATGTTTATTTTAGCTAGTAATTAGACCTAACACGGCAACACTACGCATGCAACTTCTGAGTAGGTACTGGATTGACTATGGTACTGGGTATAAGTAAGTGGACCTCTCGGCTAAGCCCCGCCCCTTGGATATTGTTGGTAAAGTCCCACAAAACGACAGCGTTAAAACATAAGCAAACACGTTCGTTTCTGGGACAACACACGTGTGCTGGCTAGACACGAGCTTATTCCTGGCCTGTGTGTGGACATGGATTTTATTTCTCATATTTGTCCAAACTCAAGTTAATCATAAGTGGCTTTTCAAATATTATGTTGATGTTGGCTTTAATTCAAATTAGCCATAGTCCGTTAATAAATTCAGATCTTGAACTCCGGAAGTAGTTCGATTAGAACCATGGGTAAACGTACGTTATTCTCGACGATTCAATCTTTTACTCAGTGTTATTACGCACTTAAGTATTAATTTTCAGTCACACTAATGCTTGAAATATATAATGACACTGAGTACAAAATTGTTTTGGTACAGTGGCCCGTGGACTTCTTTTCGAGGCTAATTTTGCAAACTAAAGAGGGGGTTTCAATTAGAGATGGGTTTCTTCTCGAGATTAAGCCCATTAGGCTTCAATTTGAGGTTTTACGATATTCTAAAATAAGTATTAACATTTACTTAAATCCAAAATCAATGTTAGAAGAATTTAGGATTCCACAATTTTTCAGATCATTTACATGAGATTTTAAAATCGAATAATGAACTTTCAAATCCCTGATGGCACTTTGTCTTGACTCCACCGTGCTATAAAAACATATACCTATTAACCATTAACCGTGGAATAAAATATGCGGCCACTGTCCTAGTACTAGTTTTGCTTGCGTTCCCCACACATCTGTTTAGGCATTCGGTCTCACGGCAGGCCGTCAGATCCTGGGGTCACCACTGATAAATCAGGGATACCCCCCTTAATAAATGCTTATGTATAACCATTATGTGCAGATAGATACATGTAGCCCACTACGATGAATAAAGTTCTGATTATAATAATGTTCTAAATTAAAAGTACTGCTAGGAAATTTATCATGGTTTTTAGAAGGTACTATAGTAATTTAAACCACGTCTAAACCAGACTTACCACAGACCGGACGTCCTGATTGTGCTCTTTGGACCTATTATCACTAGCAAACCTCAAGCTTCCAAGACCACTTCCCTTTTATGTGCAACGTTCTTCAGGCCACATTCCCTAAGAAAAAGAAGATCAAATATATAACTGCATATTTTGATCGAGGAGGTGTCGAATGAGTTAGCTCTCGGGGAAAGATTTGGCTTTGGCTATCGCTATCGTGGGAGGGTGGAGGGAGGTTGGTCTATCGCTATCGTGGGAGGGTGGAGGGAGGATGGGGCGATTTCAAGGAGAGCCAAATCCGTGAGACAGTGGTACTAAAATAATGTGTGCAAATTACGGGTACACGTTTTCTAGCCAGAAGAGAATGTGTAAATTGCTGGTTCCAAACTAATTTAGATTTCCAAGAGTCAAGTTATTTTAGGTCTATTGTACACAATTTTTATGTATCTAAACATACACGCACAATACCAATGCAGGCATACAATATTGTCAAATGATGTTTCATTGCGTAAATATCATTTCAGGACGTTACCAATGGGTTTGTTGAAGATGTTGTTCTTAGAACAGTGAAAATTGCTTGGCAAGGTTTAGGTTATGTGCCTATAGTTCAACTAGTTTTATTTATTGTTAAATATAAGTTCAATGACATTTTATTTCAAGGTTCAAAAACTAAACATTGAAATGTCACACATCAAAGATTTAACAACATGGCCGGCGGAATCGGGTGGGGGAGGGGTGGTCAGGAAAGCTAATTTCCCGCCATCTAGCAATCCAAATTTTCCCAGGGGAGAACCCCGGACCTCTTCTTTTTGGGATTTATCGATTCATGGAAAAAAGAATAGGTATGCAACTACTCAATTTTTGTTTATGTATGTATACACATAAGGCATATTTACTGTATAAGAATGAGAAAAATTTACCTGACTAGAGGGGAAAACCTTGAATTTTGAAGAACTTAAAATTCAGTAAAAGACAGCTAATGCTAGTATAGCTCAAAAGTCGGGAAAGCTAATTTCCCGCCATCTAGAAATCAAAATTTTCCAAGGGAAGGGCCCCCGGACCACCTTCCTTTATGGTTTTTTTTTTTTTTTTTTTTTTTTTTTTTTTGTTGAAAAAACGTTGACCCCACCCCCTAAATTTAGAAACCAGATCCTCCTGATTTATATTCTCATTCATCTTACTAGTGGACCCCCACATTGAAAAACGTTCCGCCGGCCCTGACAAAGTATACCTAAACATTTGGAATACCGTAAATCATGATTGCATAATAAAGTATTACTCTTCGTGAAACATGCCTATAAATATTAATTGCCCTTAATTTCACAACACTTAATACACTTAATTATAAGTTGCTGATTGTTTTCCTCTTCCTATTTTTTTAGTTATTAGTATGAATGAAGATGAACCATGGCCTCGGCTGGTTTGGACAGAGCTTCGTCTGAAAGACAGCACAGCTAAGCTACAGAGCCTACCCGCGGATCCTGATGACTATATCCAATCATCAACCATCTCCACACGTTACTATTACTCTCGTAAGCCAGCTCATTGGATTGCTATCGCCAATGACTTCGCGGAACGCACGGTTTTCTGGAGTGACAGTGGAGAGAAAAGAATAATGAAAGGCGGTCTTGGTGATGCAGCTACGGCTTCGTCAATTTTCCAAGGCACTTCGTCTTCAGTTGACGGAATCGCCGTTGACTGGCTAGCAAAAACTTTATATTGGGTGGACGAAGCATACAATTGGATTGTGGTTACTGATTATTATGCTAGCAATTTAGCTACAGTAATCGATACAGGCTTATCAAAACCAAGAGGAATTACGACACATCCACACAGAGGGTTAGATATCAATTCATTCATTTTTATTTAATTTTCAACCTTTCTCTGAAAACTGGTTGCTTTCCCTCTTCATGGAAAAGGGCTAAAATTATTCCTATTTTCAAATCTGGCAAGAGAAATGATCTTAATAACTATCGACCTATATCTATTCTTCCTTTATGCTCCAAAAGTATTGAGAAATCAGTAGCTTCACAAATATATACCTACCTTGATTTTAACAAACTTATTTCTCATTTTCAATCTGTATTCAGACCTAAACACTCAACTCTTACTGCACTGACTACTACCCTTGATTCTTGGCTTCATGAAACTAACAATAAAAATCTTACTGGCACTCTATTCATCGACCTTAAAAAAGCTTTCGACACTGTTGATCATAATACACTAATTGCTAAATTAACATATTTTGGTTTCTCTCCTTTAACAATCACCTGGTTACAAAGTTACCTTTCTTCTAGATCTCAGCATGTTCTTTTTAGTCACACATTATCTTCTCCTAGTCCTTGTCCTTGCTCTAATGGTGTCCCTCAGGGATCAGCATTAGGCCCCCTCTTGTTCACTATTTACATTAACGACCTGCCTTTAACACTTACTAACTCTGATCCTAATGTTCATATCGATATGTATGCTGATGATACAATAATTTATTACAGCAATACTTCTGTTAAACTCATTGAACAAAAACTAAACTCTACCCTTCATCTTCTATCTTCATGGTTAAAATCTAACAAGCTAACTCTTAACATTCAAAAAACTAAATCTATGCTACTTGGTTCTCCGCACAAACTAAAATCCGCTAATAACAA